TTATTTATATAAATAATAATATTAAGTTATATTAATAGATGGTGTTGAAATAGTAGATTATAATAATATGAAGTTTACATTACGAGCACAAACTATTATGTTGACTGGTGACTAGTGTTACGGCCTAAACCGAAACTTTCGGCTGGGCAAAACTTCCGAAACCTCCGAAACCTAGTTTCGCTCAAGGTCCCAAGTCTGAAACATCTGAAACTGGGCGAAACGTCTGAAACGTCTGAAACTGGGCGAAACTGGGCGAAATGTCCGAAATATTTGAAACTGGGCAAAACTGGGCGAAATGTCCAAAACATCCAAAACTGGGCGAAACATCCGAAATGTTTAAAACTGGGCGAAACTGGGTGAAATATCTGAAATGTCTGAAACTGGGCGAAACTAGGTGAAATGTCTGAAATGTCCGAAACTGGTCAAAATGTCAGAAACGTCCGAAACTGGGCGAAACGTCATGAACCTAGCATGACCACCAAGATCAGTTATGTACGGAGTTTCATCGATTAATATAACAATTTTTGTATATAAATATCAAAGAAAATTTTTTGCTATACATAGTGTTACGGCCTAAACTGAAACTTTCGGCCAGGCAAAACTGGGCGAAATGTCCGAAACTGGGCGAAATGTCTGAAACTGGGCGAAACGTCTGAAACTGGGTGAAACTAGGCAAAACTTGATCTTATCTCTATCAAAACTAGCTTAGCACATGCACAAACTTCGATACGACGATTTCTAAAAATCACGTGATCACTAACTTAAATCAACCAATGGAATTTCTAAAAATTTCATTGGTCGATTTTAAGTGCAGCGATTACGTGATTTTTAGAAATCGTCGTATCGAAGTCTGCGTCACATGATAAGCTGGTTTTGATAGAGATAAGATCAAGTTTCGCCTAGTTTCGCCCAGTTTCGGACGTTTCGCTCAGTTTCAGACATTTTGCCAAGTTTCAGACGTTTCAGACGTTTCGCCCAGTTTCAGATGTTTCGCCCAGTTTTAGGCATTTCAACCATTTTCAGATGTTTCGCCCAGTTTCAGACGTTTCGCCCAGTTTCAGACGTTTCACCCAGTTTCAGACGTTTCACCCAGTTTCAGACATTTCACCCAGTTTCAGATGTTTCAGATTTTGGGTGAAACCGAAACTCAAAATCCGAAACGTTTCAGACTTGGGTAAAGGGTTTAGGCCGTAACACTACTGGTGACATTCCAGCAATTACAAAAGTTTTAAATTTAACAGGTCATAATTCATATATGGTTTGTTGATTCTGTAATATTCGAGGCATATATAATGATCATATTTATTATCCATTAAATTTTTCTTAAGACATGTTTTATATAAAGATTATTTCCTAATATCCTTTCTGCAAAACTGATTATAGCATTAAGTTTCCTTTCTTGTATTTAAGTTGATTTGATCAGATTAACATTTTAACCTATTAACAAATATAATTATATTTGTCATGTTTGTAATTACTAAATCTGTTACTCTTGGGCACAGTGTCTTAATAGTAAGTAAGCATCTGAGGTGGCAATATTCTTTTATAATACTTTTATAGTATTTAAGAATTTATTACTGAACTTATTACTAAATTAATGGCCTTTTAGCCAGATACACATATTATAAATAGGTGTTTCAGACACTCTCAATCACAAGGAATAGTTGAAAAGGTCAATGAAATTTTACAAGTCAAATTCAAAAAATGGATGGAAGATAATTTTACTGATGATTAGACTGAAAGATTATCTTTAGTTATATGTATGTATATAAATAATAATAAGTTTATATTATATTACATATAAAATGAATTTTTTTATATAAGATGCAATAAATTTACAAATCTGTTATGCAACAGAAAAATTACTATATTCACTTGTGTTTGGACAAGATCCAGTTTAACATTTTTCAGTTTTTGAAGATTTGTCATAAAAAAATATTATGAATAAAGAAAAATTATCAGAAGATTTTTTTGAAAATTCAAAAAAAATAATCTATTATTTGAATCTTTAAATAAATTTAAATTATTATCAGAACAATCTGAATCTTTAGCATTAAATCAAATCAAATCTTCAAGTACATATAACTAATTTATTACTAATTTATATTTAATCTTTATTATTAAATCTAAATTAACTCTTATTTTTAGGTTTACTTAAATCATCAATATTAAATAAAATTGAATATTTATTACCAAAATTTAACTGAAACTTCATTACTATTATTAAGTTTAACTAAAGCATCATCTTTAAGTTTAATTGAATCTTTATTTTCATCAAATTAACAAGAATCTTCAAGTGAATTATTATTACAAAATAATGTATGCATTTCATAATTTTATAAGTATGTACTAATTATATTTATTAAAAATTTATTGTTTTACTTAATATAGTTTAATTTACAAGAAATATTGCTACAAAATAGCCAATCACATCATTAACATTTTTGTACTTATGCAAATAAATCACTTATTAACTATCAGAATCGAATAAAAAATCAAATATTAAAAAAAAATAAGCATCAACTTGAATATGTTATTAATGATTATGTTTACATAGCAATTTCCAAAATAGATTATAATAGCATTGATTGGCAAACCTTACTTTGTAAAGTAATTGAAGAATTATCAAACAAGATATACCATCTGCAATATAAAAATAGAATTCTTGATATATCTTTTAATACAAATGAGCTTATGCCATTAGGACCAACTATGTATGAAGAACTTGAAGACTGTGAAAATAAAGTTATTAGTATGTAAGAAACTGTAAGATACAATTAATATCAGTTGTAACTGGAGTATGTTGTAATTATAAAAGTGAATGCAAAAATAATATTTGTAAATGTAAACATTTTAGTATGTTATGTGGAAGTAGTTGTCATCTACATAGCACAAAATATAAAAATAAAAGATTAAATTAAATAATGTTTTAATATATAATAAAATTATTTTTTATTTTTTTATTTTTTAATTTTTTTTTATTTATATAATATTAGAGTAGAAACTTTATAAGTACATAAAAAAAATTTCTATGCTAAAGATTTCTAACTACATTTGTGCTACTTAATTAAGAATATTTTTTTTAAGACACCCAATGTAACATTATGCCTCCTATTTTCTAATAAATGCTATAATCAATTAATTTATCAATTTCTAGCTAGGATAGGTTGGAGAGGATCTAAGATGTTTGTTCTATTATTATATAAATCAAAAAGTTAGTAAATAACCTTGAAAGAGCCATTTTTTTTTTTTTTTTTTTTTTTTTTTTTTATTAAATAATGCTCAAGTAGAAACTTTATTACATATAGAAACATGA